CCCCCCCCCCCCCCCACCCACCCCTCTCTAAAAAAAGGGCCTCTCCCTTGTGTCGGATTTACAATTAAAATGTGTCCAAATTTAGGGCGGTTATAATACATAACGTCAAGGGGTGTTCCCCTGTGTCCTCCGGACAAGAAATAACAAACGAACAAGCAATTAGCACGCTGGCAACCATGTGCCCGATGAAGTTCTGATTGGCATCAATCATCAGTGTGCTATGTGCCTGATTGAAACGGAATACAGCATGGCATACACGCGTTCCCATACACATGCGCAATGACAAGAGATATTGGAGGGAGCAATTCACGCCACACCGAATGAGAGAATACAGAGTGGAAGCACTCAAATACCGGAAATATAATTGGGATTCAAAGCCAATTCTAATTGACCCTCTCTTCTCCAGCCAATCAAACACTGTTTGCGAGAATCCCAACCACGTTATTAACACCCACGAACTAACTAAGAAGAAAGTTTCATAAAGTAGGGGAGACTTCGTCTTCCTCCCAACCTTGAGCTCACAGCTATGGCGCAGGCCTGCGCCCAACCTATCAAGCCCATCAATCACCACCAACCCTCCTGAACCCAACATGCCACTCAGCCGTCCAGACTCGATGTCCACTGCAGATGACGTGTCCGCTCAACAGGGGAGGGTAGCTCCCTGGATGGAGAAGAAGAACAACAACTTGAAGACGACGATGATGACGACGACGACGAAGAAGAAGAAGAAGAAGAAGAAGAAGAAGAAGAAGAAGAAGAAGAAGAAGAAGAAGAAGAAGAAGAAGGGTGCCACTTCGAAGTATACTTCGAGCAGAGCTTCGATGGCAGCTCCCTGTCGAACCCCAACAAGCACAGCAAGGAGGAGGCACCTACAGTGCCTAGGGCCTGAAGCCCAGCGCAACCGGATGTCGGGCAGAGGTGCCCACAGCTATGCCCTCCAGCCCCGCCAGCTAGCAGAAGCTGCTTCACACTGGTAGCAAATAGCGCAGCAGCATAACGTGACCTCCAGCAAACGTTCCACCAAAAAAAAAAGACGATCAGAACCCATTGCCCTTCGACTCCCCTCTACTTCTATCTTTTTCCTAGACCTAGACCTCGGCCTCCGGCAGTCACCAAGACCTACGACCCCTGAAGTCCTACAGCCTGCACGAATCTAGACTGAATCCCGGTCTACGGGGGAAGCCTACGTGCCTCCTGAAAACAAATGCATAAAAGACAAAAAGGAAAGGCCAAAGGGCCTAGGACCAGCCAACAGAGACTACTACCGTCAAATCTAGGGATCGAGCCCAACAAGGCTCAAGACAAACAAACACAGAGAAGTCCCGGCACTCAGCAGCATCCGTTAAAATTGGAAACTGCAATTCATTGCAAGTGTAACTTGATACTACTATGCAAGTTGGGTCTTGAATGGCATCTCACCCCTGATTTCTCCTTCGTTCCCCCGTGTCCGTGGGAAGGGCAACACCATCAGGGGGGGAGATGCCGTTCAAGCCCCAAGTCATTACCAGTGTAGCCTGCAAATTACAGCGGCGTGGTGGCAGCAGCAGCAGAAACGCTAGGAGGAGGAGGAGGAGGGGGAGGAGGAGAGTGGTTGTTTTCGTCGCGCTGTAGATCTTGACAATCCTGGCGATCCAAGATTTTGTCCGATGCAGCAGATCTTGGATTGCCTGGAATGCTGAACGCCGGATTGCCAGGACAGGTGAAAAATTGAGTTCTGGACATCTGGGCAACTCATTCAGCTAAACAGCAGATTGACATAGATGGCCATAATTTGTCATGAAGATAAATAGGAGGTCAATTTTGCTGTAGATTCCTTAGGCCTAGGGGAAGAGAAGTACATGCTCAGTCGAGCGATGTATATGGACTATTATGGAGCCAAGGATCCGCAATGTGATGAAAAGGACTCGACTGGACAATGCAGCGTCAGCAAAGCATCAACAAGCAATGTACATCCCAATACATACAAAAATAGCATAGGGTATAGATGCAAATTGGGCGTTGGGACTAGGTATTGTAGGTATCCATCTTTAAGTGGGGTACAAATGCAATTTTCCTCGAAAAAAAAAGAAGTGCTAAAGAGATTTTTTTATTTTTTTATTTTTTATAATGGAGATCAACATGGCCCCTACGCAATGATGACATATGTTAATTGATAGTGTAGCGCAACGGAAGACTCAAAGATATGACCTGACCTGTCAGATACTGATGCGACACCCCATCATACACCACGCATGTGAGAGAGAGGGGAGGGACCGCATACATGGAAGAAAGGTCCCTCCTTGAGCACGCACATGGGGAGATACCACGGATGAGGAGATGGGGAAGAGGCGAGATGAAGATGGAGGTAAAGTGGAAGACCAAGATCGCGATAGTGAAGTCCCAAAATAGTCTCCCTGCCGAATGTCCAATCAATGTCTGCCACAAAATGTCGAATCAGATCCTGGGCCTCATGGCCCGATGTAGGCTCTGCCTGTAACCTCTCTTTCTCTCTCTCTCTCTCTCTCTCTCTCTCTC